ATCACAAAAAAGGCTTCTTCTCCTTCATTTCTCGACCAATTTTGATTTGGTTTGCTTTATATCGTAGAGCTAACTTTGGTACACTAAACTTCTACACAGAATTTTGAAATTGTTCTCCATTAATTATTTATGGTAATTTATGCAAATTTATTCCAAAAATAACAAAAATTGCTTCTTTTCCCTCATTTCTTGACCGATTTTGCCTTATCTGGTAGAGCTAAATTTGGAACAATAAACTTCTACACAGAATTGTGAGATTTTGCTCCATTGATTATTTATGGTACTTTATGCAAATGAAATGAAATTATGTCCCTTCCAGGGCATCAAATTTCTATTTTTTGACCAGTTCAAAAGTGTACCACATAAAATTTACGATATTTGTTGTTGTGAGATGCGGATGAGCGCTACGTCATTGACGTTCTGGTTTATCATATTGAATTGCGTTATGCAGGCGAGACCGCCGAGAGCGTTTCCCTTGTTTATACCTTATTTGTGACATTGGCAGGTCACTTATTTTTTCTCTCCGTCTTTCTTTCTTTTCCTCTTTAACATAATTTTTCAAAAAGTGAGGGAAGGGGGGGCTCGAGCCCAGCCACTTTGCTGACCATGACATAAAAGCCCGACTGTAATTTGGGAATTTCTTATTTTCCAACAAACGCATAAAAAGGTAGAACTTATCCAAAAATGGAGAAAACATACCGAAAAATCATGTCATAACAAGAACATTTGTAAATCACTGGTATCGAATAAGAAATACGCCCCCCCCCCCATCAATACGCAAGCGTTCAGGGGCTCATGTCTTCTCACCCCTATAACAAACAAAAAAAAACAGACACGCTTTCCCTCTCTCGCACAATATGTCCACAATATGCGCGTATAAAGACCTCCACTGATAAATACCGTATAAGTGGCATGCGCAATATTTTATGAAATTTAATTCCTGTGAACTTTCCTTTTCTTTGAATGGAATTGTATATTTGATTTAATTCAGGTTTGTATTATTGTTATGTTCTTTTAGATTAAAAATACAAACCATGTTTATTCCTTTACTGCTTTTTTTTCTTTGGAGGGGGAGGGGGGGGGCAAAAATGCGTTTTGCCCCCCCCCCCCACACACTTTTTTGACTGGGGGGGGGGGCAACTGCCCCCCTGCCCCCCCCCCCCACTTCCGGCGCCTATGTACATAATGATATGTATGACTATTTTACTGTTATAATTACTGTTAAAACTTAGGATATCATTTCATATTGTCTCCACAATTTCTAGTGTGAATCACTGAGGGGGGCATTGCTTTCACGGGAGGGGGGGGGGGGGTGGCGGCACCGGTCTTCTGCTGTTGGAGAAATACGAGGGAATAAGGTCAAAAACGCCATCATGTGAAAAGAGGGTGTTTGTTGTCTCATCTTCTTTTTCACGTTTCCACTTCTCTCTCTCTCTCTCTCTCTCCTCTCCTCTCTCTCTCTCCCTCTTTCCCCTCTCTCTCTCTCTCTCCCCCTCTCTCTCCCCTTCTCTCTCTCTCTCCCTCTCTCCTCTCTCTCTCTCTCCCTCTCTCTCTCTCCTCTCTCTCTCTCTCTTTCTCTCTCTCTACATATGATAATAATAATGATCATAGTACTTATAATAATGATAATGTTAATGAAAATTACGAAAATGATGATAATAATTATAGTAATGATGATGATAATAACAATAATCATAATCATAATGATGATAATAAGGCCTAAAAAAAGATGATGTATTGCCTTTTGCGACCGACCCCAATATCCTGACTGAATCTACGGTCGGATTTTTTTTACCGTTTCTTAGAAAAAAAATATGTATTAAAGCCTTTCAAAACTCAAAAATATCAGCCCAACGAGAGAGGGGAAAAATAAATTTAAAACAATTTAAAAAAAAGAAAGATTTCCGACCGATCGACCCATGTTTTGGCACCTAAAGGGCAATATTTTTGGCTTAATAATTATAATAATGATAATAGTAACCTGGATTTATACAGCGCGTCCCAGACTCACGAAACCGAGAATTATTGATATTTTATTATAACTTAATCACAATTATAATTAATAAATGACACATATTTGTAAAGCTTAGAACCTCCTCATAGTCACACATGAGCGATTAAAAGCAATTTGAAGAGAGGAAACCAAAAAAGTCATTTGGCGGACGGTATCTGAATTTCAGAGAAGAAAAAAATCACATTTCTAGAAAGTTCATTTTTTGCCCTTTCATATGACACCTCAATCAGGAAAAATGAGCCAGAAATAACAAAGTTCCGTTTGTTTAAAGTAAATGCTTGCATTTCCATAATTTCATTAAACAAATTCGTTTTACACTGTCTGCCTGCCAAAGCAACAAACAGAATTGACAACAACTCCGTTTCGTTGACGATCAGCCATAGACGAAAGACTCTTTTGTCAATTTTGCTACTTCTCAAACAGAAAACCTAGTGTCCCTTTCATTATAAAGAGACACTAGGAAAACCTTTTCTGGGAAAACCCATAGCCATCTATACATAGAGTTTGATCAACTGGGTTTCACTAAGTCACAAAATGGCGTATATTCTTTTGTTTTGTGCTTGCCCAACAAATCAGCAGTCGCCACATTGTGACCAACTCGAACCGGGTTCGCCAAAATCTCCTAATCAATGGCACTGGGAAAACCCGGAAAACCCAGAGCCCTTAAAGTTGATACTCTAAGCAAATAAATGTCCCTTAATTTGTTACCTACGGCAAGTATATGTTATTTTTAAGTTTTTCAATTACTTAGTATATCACAAAAAAATTCTGTCTACTCGAAATCCTCAATTGAAATGTCTAAAATATCCGCCTCTCTTTGCATAGAAAATCAGTCACGACGCTGGTCTACTATTTATGACCTCACGTCCGGGAGAGAGTATATTCACGTACCCGGATGTTCCATAGCAAACATGTGCAGAGTGATACGATTTTCTGCATATTTTTGTTTCAAAGGCTGAAAAGTCTAATAAATCATAATTCTATGTACAATTCTTTACCTTCCCCTAGTACTTCATAGTATTAATATCAATTCCCCTTTTAAAAATTATGACATATACATGCCAACGATGTGCTATTAGTCGATATTTTCACCATGTAATTTTTGTTTTGGTGTTGAAATCGGCCCAGGCACGGAGTGAACAGTAGCTGTCTACCCATGCACAGTTCATTACCATACACTGCAGCGATCTCCCGATGGTTTCTTCTTCCTTTTTCCCATGTCTTTCGCCTTCCTTGGCCCTGAACATCCTTCATCTACCAATTCTGACACCGGTAGTCAGGAGCAAGTCTTTGTTAGTTGTTTTTCTTAGCTGGCAACGTCACTTTCATTCTCTTGCAATTGCCGATAAACATATAACTAGCGCACGTACGTTCCATCACAAGCAAGCAGCGCCTATAGCAGCGGCTTGGTCTTACCTCCCGATTGCGTTATTTTTTTATGCGGCACAGATTGGGGCTTTTTTTTTAAAGGGGTCTTGATTTACAGACTAATACTGGTCGTGTGCGTACTAGACAGTATAAGTAGTAGAGGTCTGTTTTTAATAGTGTTACATGTAATCCACTACCGCATGGAAAATCATTACATCAACAATTAAAATCAAATTGGAAATCTGAAGAGGAGGCAGCACGTCAATAAGGAGAACATCACAATAATTAGTCAATAAAACTTAACTAACTTAAACGAAGAGGAATGTTATCTAAACACATAGTTCGCGATGGATATACAAACTTCTTCGCAGCGCTAATGCGCTAGCGAACATGACTAGTCTCACGTACGTGCAGACACTATTCAGAAGGGAAAGAACGTACTTCCCATAGGTTTAACACGCGCCATGCCCCAATCTGTGCCGCATAAAAAAATAACGCCTCCCGATTCTGCTCGCTCCACGAACGTTCATGCAAGAGCCGCATCACTCGCCAAAATATTATAGAGGAAGCGCGCTTGCATGATCTCGTTCAAGTTTGATATTTTACAACATAAAATGTTTAACTGGTACTGTATCCTTTTTTGAGGCAGTCACACACATCTATGATAAGTACTATCATAGTTCTAGACCTATTCGTTTTACAAAACTGCTCATGTACATCTGATGACAATAATTTATAATGCATCCGCCTATTCATAAGTGCACGATTTAACTTTAATTCCTAAGCAGTAAACTCGTCTTAAATCTCTACCAAATAGGTGAATATGAGGATATAAAAAGAAATCAGCGACTGGAAAATGTTGCTTCGTTATTCTTCATTCAAATGAAAACAGAAAATCCATCAAATATACTCCTTAACAACAACAAATCTAAGCTCTGACAGGATAGCATTTACGTAGGGATATCACTGCCATTCACTCTCACTGAGCCCATGACTCCCGTTCGTGACGTCACGGATAGAGGCCCGACTCTACGTGCACTTCCGGGTTTCAGACTTAGATATTTTGGTAGAGTTTACTCGAATAAATTCATTATTCTAAACTTGTTTTGTCGGGTGGACACCATTTGGTGTTATTATGGGGGTTAAAAGCTTTCTATTTATGTAATTATCTCAATATTGGGGATTGTCTTAGAGTATCAGCTTTAATATACACTCTGGAAAAACCCTAGTGTTCCTTCATAAAGGGACACTAGGAAAACCCAGTGCCATTGATTACACTATGAACATGACTGACAATGAAAGCGGACAAAATATACAGTTCCTCAGGTAGACAAAGGAACATCCCTTCACTGCTATTATGTAAAAATGTGTAGAACAGGTGAATATGCATGTGACACCTGTTCTACGCACTTTTATATAATAGCAGTGAAGGATGTTCCTTTGTTTACCTGAGGAACTGTATATTTTGTCCGCTTTCATTGTCAGTCATGTTCATAGTGTTAGGACGTGTATAGAAAACCCTTCGTCCTGCGCCATCTACGACCGGAAAGAAGGGGGATTCCCCTGTGCGCTTATTATTACGTAAGTTGTTGTTGTTGTTCGAGGCGTTGAGCCGATCTTGGAAATTTCCATTCGATGATCGTGTCAGCATGGAGTAGGTCCATGGTGTCAGCTTGCCAGGTAAAGATTTAAATATCTTGATTCTCTTTCTTCTTTACTTGAAATACACATGCATGAGTATTTTCCATTTCACGTAGGGTCTATGTACATTATCTTAAAGATAAAGACCAGTTATGGTCATGCGATTGCATTGTGAAAGATTGTGGAATCGATCAGAAAAGGTTGATCATCTTAGCTTAGCATATCAAGTATTGGTGTGCACTGCAAGGTTCTGGAATCATCAAAATGATAAGAAATTTGGCCCAGTCTTCGTAAAGTTACAAGCACTGTACACAGAAAGATGTATATGGGACTACGCACACGTGCGCAACACGTGCGTTTATCTCTCACAGTCCAATAGATAAAATAATTTACCAAATATATCAATTAGTAGGCGGTTTCCCAGCAAAATTTTTAAAGGCATAATAACAATGTTAAATCTGAGATGCACAACCCTATGTGTTATCAGTGTCTGTGATATGGCGTAATATTGAAGCCCTAAAAAAATTGCGCTTCACAATGATCATGAAGTGCCTCAATAAAGTAAAGATCCTCAATAAAGTAAAGATCTTTGAGTACCGGTTTTACCATACTCATTTTCCCCAATAGACTGTCCATGGTGTACCGTTAGGAAAACGAAAAACAAAATTTTGATTGCCAATCATAAATATCTTGATAATCAGACAGGCGATCAGCTGGTAAAAGTCATGGGGTTCCTGACTGACCTAAAGGTTTATCATTATGATTGCAGCATGAGCTAAATCCAGGATTTTGTTTCAGAATCTGAGACAATGTTATAGAGTCACTTTAAGAGGCCACTTGGTTCTCTACTGGTGAAACTGACATTGCATGGCTACGTCACATAACTCACTCTTCAATATTCTCCTAATTCAGATAAACCTGACCTCCATTCTAAGATCACATGATCACAAAGATAACTTGACCTTGGACTAACTTTCTTTGTTAAACCCTATTTCGCAGAAAAGCTTACTCCCTGAATTGACATAATCTACTTCTATTCTACAGGGCGTAAGAATCTAGTTTCGAGGGTTTGTGATTCTTTATTTTAAAAAATTAAAATATATATAGTATTCTAATTGATAAAAATAAATATATCTGTATTCCGTGGTTTGCTTCGGCTTGTCGCTATTCCTATTATTCTATGTGATATATTATGATATCGTTTTATTTACAGCACGTCCCCATACATGTATAATCCGAACATCTCCCTTATACGCATGCATGTATCCCACTCTATGCCCTTCCTGAGAAGGTTTGAAATTAATTTAAAATCCTACTTTGTACATTGTTGATCTATATCAATGATGATCATTTGTGCTGGTTTTTAAAATTGTATGTGCAGGTGAGAAGAATCCAATATATGACAAAATGGCTCTCGATCTATACTCTTCGATTGTGGTTGGATGCCTTGTGTTTATCTGGATTGTCTTGGGGGTGATGTTCAAACAAGGTGAGTACCTTAGATGTAGAGTATCTTTATTTTATTGAAAAATCATAAACCTTTCCCTAAGAGAGTCTATGTTAGATACTGGTAGGCCCTCCAATTACACCGTGTAGTTTGCCCCTACCCCCAGTGTCCCCCACCCCTACCTTCACCCCTTTCCCGCTATTCAGCAATGTTTACAGCAGATTATAATTCTCCAGTAAATTACAATGTTTACAAGTCAGATTTAATATTTCTGGAAAATTTACTTTGTTGTTTTAAAATGTATGATTTTTAAATCAAGTTCTTGGTACTGAAGAAAATATTTCCATTTTGTATGTATAATATGCTCTTTTCCTACTAACGCTACTAACTTTTGTTCAGCAACGACATTAGAAACTGTGAACAGTTGTTTGATTCACTGTGTGTACTAACATCTACAGTTTTTTACTTTATGCTGTGTTTGTTTTGTATGTGATGTGTATACTTGTTTTTGCCTTATTCATCACTGTGTAAATGTATAACGTGAATGTTAAAGTGCTATATGTTCATTCTCTCTATATACTCGTTTTATGTTGTATGTATCATGTTACATGTACATTTTATTTATTCTTCTCTGTGAACAATGCATGTAAACGAAACAAATTTCCTTTTGGACCAATAAATTTGAATTGAATTGAATTGAATTGAAATTGAATTAAATATACTTTGGTTCAATTTGATGTCGCTGATTTTTGTTGTTGAAATAATAACAATAATAATAGTTCAGTTCTTGTATAGCGCATAATATGTTATGAAATAACATCTCTATGCGCTTCCAAAGAGCTTTGGAAATTATTACCCTAGCTATAGCTCCGGCCTTCAAAGATCATTAAGTTCAATAGTAGGCCCTACATTGGCTTTTGGTAAGAAATATTGACGGTGCCCATTGAATTTCAGAGAGCTGCATGAACACATATAAAATAAATCATGACATATTTTAAAAAATGGCTCAAACTTTAGCAGAGAGCTGCTAGTGTTAAGGTATTGACTCATGCATGATTCTATTCCAGCAAATATAACTTTAGTTGTGAAGTTTAGTTATGAAAGAAGGTGTAATCAATTTATAGCATGTTCTTTACACGAAAGAATTTCTCAATGAATGAGTTTTGTTTGTTTGTTTATTTTTCTTTACCCTGAAAACAGGTTTATTGATTAATTTATTGCTTTCATCTTACCCAAGTGCAAAAAAGCAAGTTTATGCTTGTGAGTAAGCTCCAGGGGACAACCAGGTTTAAATCCCATCCGAGGTGGGCGGTAGTGTCGTCCCGAACATGGGAACATTCATTTCTAGGGCCATCAGTTACCCATTGAGTCATGCTGTCAAGAGTGCTGTTTTGGACATCCAAATTTTCCTTAAACCTGGTTTATTGTTCCTGCTTCATCACTTTCCTTTTCTGAGGTATATTTAAAATGCTTTTCATAATTTTTAATAGATTATTGGGTTCCCATAACATGATATGAGTGCATAAGCTTTTTATACCAGGTTTTCCTAAACTTGATAAAAGTATATTTCAGTGTCCAACCCTACCTTACTTGAAAAGGACCAGTACCGGTAATAATAATATAGTAATTAAAAGGAATCTGTCTAAAATTATTTATTGCTTAAATCATGTGGCTTTATTAGTTAAATATCACTTTCCTTGTCTGGGAGTATATACATGTATTAGTTCTATTACTTCTTATGTCTTTCTCTCTCTCTCTCTCTCTCTCTGTTTTTTTTGTCCCCTGCTTTTACATGTATATTCTGCATTGTTAGCAAACTATATTGCTTGCTTGCTTGTGTTTATGTCTTACTGTACTGTATTATGTAACCATGAGAAAAATTGATGTAAAGTTGTAACAAAAATCTCCTACTGCAAGAGATATTCATTACATAATGATTAATTTGCCAATTGAAATACCATCTTTCTATGATTATTTGACTCATAATATGTTTACAAAGAGTTAGAATGAATAAGTGTTACTGTGTGAAAGTTGAAATAAGTACATACTAATATCCCCCTGTGTTTTGTCTCTTTTATAACCCTTCGATTGTAGAGTACTGGTCTCGTAACATTACACGGTAAGTGATTATGGAGTTCTTTGCGCTCTTTGTAAACTACAAACTAACTCTTTAATATTGTATTGTTTTTTATATAAAAGCTCAAAATTTTATATTTCTAGATACAGTGTTTATCTGTTGCTATTTATGCGATGTATTTCTTGAAGATGTATTTTAGCATTTGATTTCTATGGAATGTATTTTCATCAACTCTAAATCATTTTAGATTTTGTAACAAACTAACATCCCCATATTTGCTTGGCTGACATGTATGAGTGTCTTTTACTTTCTCTTAATCCTATACCAATTTCATTGAAATTCAAAGTTACAAAATGTTTTAAAGAGGCTACTAAATAACCCCCCCCCCAAAAAAAAAAAAAATAAATAAATACATACATATATATATATATATATATATACAGTGTGTCCTAGAAAAAAAGAAACCGAGAATTATCAATGTTTTATTATAACTTAATCACAATTATGATTAACAAATGACACATATTTGTAAAGCTTAGATCCTCCTCTTTCATTTGATGTAACTCATATGATGCATATTTCATGCATGAATGATTAAAAACAATTTGAAGAGAGGAAACCCCAAAGTCCATTTTAGGGCGGTATCTGAATTTCAAGGAAGAAAATTACATTTCTAGAAAGTTCAATATCTGCTCTTTCATATAACACCTCAATCAGGAAGAATGAGCCAGTAACAACAAAATTCCTGTTTGTTTAAAGTAATGCTTCAGTGCATTTCCATAATTCAAACAAACAGAACTTTGTTATTCCTGGCTCATTTTTCCAGATTGAGGTGTCATATGAAAGAGCAGAAATTGAACTTTCTAGAAATGTGGTTTATTGCTGATTCACTCTCTCACACTAGCAAATACAAATCCAAGATGGCCGCCTGCCAAAACTATAGAGTACCGAAGCTGTGACGTCATAAAAATCTATTTTCAGAATTTCTCAATTTTTTCTTCATTTTCCGAAAGAGCATCAAAAATAATGTCCAAATGTCGAAAACCAATTGAATATGTTAAGTATTGGCCGAGATATGACATCTGAATAAATAAATGTCCTATGGGAACTCATTGTTAGCTGTGGCTCCTATGGTTAGGAGCCAGAGCATATAACATTGAGTTCCCAAATATATTTTTTTTAAAGAGTTCATAACAGAGAAACGGCTCTGAACAGGCCATGTCCCATCTGGCGGTCGTCAGTGTGATTAGGGTTGGCAGACATGACAGTGTTGACATAAATGATGAGGGGCTCCTCTTCAATCTTGGCTTTTTTTGGTTTGCTTTATTCTATTGTCAAGGATTCCAGAGATGATAATTCCAAAAGGAGAGGTTTTATCAGAGGTTTTATCAGAGGTTGTGGGTAGTACCCAGGTTTCTCCTTCATCCCCCTTCATCATTCCTGCCAATGGCTCACATGTGTAAGTATGATATTGGCTTGTTGCTAATTAAAGGTAAAGATCAGTATTGGAAATGCCCCAATTTCAAAAAATGAAATGGAAGCTCTCATTACCAATCATGTGAAAGAATATGTTTTGACCAATACATGATGATAAAAAATTTGCCGGGAAACCGCCTACTAAATTATATATTTGGTAAATTTGTTTCTCTCATGGTCTGTGAGAGATATAGGTTAGTCCGAGATACATCTTTCTGTGTATAGTGCTTGTAACTTTACGAAGAATGGGCCAAATTTCTTATCATTTTGATGATTCCAGAACCTTGCAGATGCTAGATGCTAGATGATCAACCTTTTCTGATCGATTCCACAACGTTTCTTTCACAATGCAATTGCATGACCATAACTGGTCTTTACCTTTAATAGCTATAATTCCCAACAGTCCAACTGGAAACTCTTGTAAACTCATAACATCAGCTGTAGTTGGCACTACATGTACAATGTTTGAGATACTTAATTACCTTTTTCATGTGATGTTTTACATGTTATGGCGATTCCTGTAACAGCTGTTCTCTGTAGGATTCCATGGTGAGTGAGTTTTCACTATTAGAAACTTTCTGTAACTCCACACAGAAGCCTTACTGAAAAGGCTGCTTTGGAGGAATTAAGAAAGTTCTACAGATTTTGATGTTGGCTGCAAATGGGACATAGTACCTTTAACTGACAAGTGATATATGCAATATTTTGTACTAATGTCAGTCTTTTAAAATAATTTTCTCATCAGGACCATAACTCTCAGCCCGCCATTACATGAAGCCGACACTTCCAATGCAGGGTCTCAAGGGTAAGTTTATGGAAATTAATTTCACGTACTCAAACAGCTTTTGCATCCAATACAACTATAGTCACCAGACCACTATTGTGGAATGAACTCCTGTCAGATGTAATAAATACCGGCTCGCTGTATACCTTTAAACACTTCCGTAATTCGTCCCATGGCTCCCTGATATATAATACTCTTTTTTTGTTTTGTTAGTCCTTCCTCTTATATTTTCCTCTCTATTTTTCCAGTTTTTTTTCTTGTAATTTTCATTGAACATAATCGACATGCCCAATAGACCCCATTTATACAAGGGGGTCTAAAATTTACGAGATTAGCTTTTTACTACATTAATTCCCCCATATTTCACTTCATATATATGTCTAATTATGTTTAAATACCATGCAATTGTATTTACATGTATATCTCTGAACAGTGGCGTACGCAGGATTTTTTCAAGGGGGGTGTTTTAAAATAAAATGTTTTGCTTAACCCTCAACCCCCCCCCCCCCCCACCCCTGTGTACGCGCCTGTCTCTGTATTTATTTTGTTGGTGATATTACTTTTTGATCATGACCTGATATTATTCATTCTTATTATTGCTTATGATTTATAAAATAAATCTTGTAACTAAACTTAAAAATAATATACTTTTAACTCTCTCCCCGCTATCGTCAACTAATGGAAAAAAGCAGTGGACCACCACTGTCAACTTTTGGCACATGTAATTTAGACTGTGTAAACTCAAAACAATAAAGCAGTCTTCGGTTTCTTTCTGGTGCGAATAAAAGAGTTAATAACGAAACAAATGTCAGCAATTTTTGTTCTTTTTCAGGAATGATAATGGAGCGACAGAAGGAGAAGGATCTTCCAGCAGTGGAAGCACGGATGGATCTCATTCAGACATGAGTAGCTTCAATAGCCTTCATTCAAATGACAAAGCTCAAAGAAGGTAACCTTTCGACTTCATATACGCCCATCACACACTTTCCAATCTCAATTACTTTGATCCAATTTTCATGAATGTAGACAAATATATTCGTCCTAACTGGGTCTATCATATTGTGAATGCTTAAACAATGTTTTTGGCTCACTTATAGTATGGTGTACTTAGGTATGAAGTAAAGTTTGATCTGAATATTCAATTCAGATATAAATTGACAATTTGTTAGCAAGTTTGCTTGTTTGCTTACATGTTTTGTCAACATTCTGTTGATTTCTTTGGAGAGAAATTAACTGTCAATATAAGCAATTGTTTTCTCCCCATAGGACTTTGAATGACCAATCTGAGGGTCAGAGAAGCAATGAAGGATCTAATGCTGCTATGAGTAGGTGTCACAGCCTGCATTCCAATGACCAGCCTCAAAAAAGGTGAGCATACTTTATAACTTAGAACCAAGGCTCTTGCCTTTTTGTAAATATTATGTTATATAATTCTTCATCTTTTATTTAGTGTAAAATACCAAAGCTTTGTATATAAGCACAGAACATATTTACCCTAGATGTAGAATAGTTTGTAGCTTAATTATGTATTCAATAGTTATTCATATTTATTCATTACATTCTCATTTATTGCTGCGATACTTTATGTGTGTTAGTGGTACTAGACACGATTAGCATTAAATGCTATTTCCTGGTCCCATTTATCCTTTCAATGTTAATTAATCATTCACATTTGATTGTTATATTAATGTACTTTTTGTTTTGGATAATAAACTTCAAACTCAAACTCAAACTCAAACTCAAACGTTGTGATGCAAAATCTCACTAAGACAATCATACGATGTTTGATCTAAATATTTAATGCAGATATAAATGAACAAGTTGTTTCTAAAGTTTACTCTTTTACATGTTTTGTTGACATTTAGTTGATTTCTTTGGAGAGAAATTACCTGTCAATATAAGCAATTGTTTTCTCCCCATAGGACGACTGCGAATGACCAATCGGAGGGTCAGAGAAGCAATGAAGGACCGAATGCTGCTATGAGTGGGTATCGCAGCCTGCATTCCAATGACCAGCCTCACAAAAGGTGAGCATATACTTTTAGTATATGTTACGTGGTGAATCTCATTAAGACAATCATACGATTTCACCATCCATCTTTTAAAATATGGATTTCATTAACAATCAAGTCTCTAAGTGCTACCAAACTTGGGGATTATTACTCTGGCTTTAGCTGTGCTGCCATTACAGCCCTCTAGCATTTCAAGGCATTAACTCCTGCCAGGTACCCATTTACATCACATGGGTGAGCGGACAAATGTAGATTAATGTCTTGCCAAAGGACATTAGTGCCGCAGCAGGACTCAAACCACGGACCTTGTGATTGACAGCCCGGCGACGTAATCATTTGACCATGACACCTCTACAATGCAGGTATAAATGGTCAAGTTGATCCCAAGTTTGCTTGTTTACTTGTTTTGTTGACATTTGTTGACTCCTTTGGAGAGATGTTTACTGTCAATTTAAGCAATTGTTTTCTCCCCGTAGGACGACTGCGAATGACCAATCTGAGGGTCAGAGAAGCAATGAAGGATCAAATGCTACTATGAGTGGGTGTCACAGCCTTCATTCCAATGACCAGCCTCACAAAAGGTGAGCATAATCTTTGTAACGTTGTGATGCGCTATCTCATGAAGACAGTCATACAATTTCACCATCCATCTTTTTAAAAAAAGGATTGCAATCTTTACCTTTTTTAGTGAAGTTGTACTTCCTCAACAATGAAATAAATTTACTTTGGTTAAGAGTTAAGACTCTTCACGGTACGTTTGATATATATTTTTTATGTCGAATGATGAAAAACAGGAATACAACCAAATGATATTTAATTATTCATTTGCTGTGATGATTATTATAATTAAAGAACATGGTCTTGGTGATTGAACTGTATATACCATGTACATTTTGAAAGAGATTGGCCAGGGAAATGTTTAAAAAATATACTGGTACTTTTCTCTTTCTACGCAGAGTGACAAAAGGTTGAATGAGTATTGAGTAGCCTTGTAGTACTGCAGGAAAACATACTTTCAACTATAACCTTCTTTAATGATTCCTCACTTATGATGTAGATAGGAATGAACTGATGTTTGATCCAAATATTTAATGCAGATATATGAATGGTCAAGTTGTTCGGAAGTTTGCTTGTTTACTTGTTTACTCATTTTTTGTGTGGACATTTCGTTGATTTCTTAATTTGAAGAGAAGATTACTGTCAATTAAAGCAATAGTTTTCTCCCCATAGGACTGCGAATGACCAATCTCTGGGTCAGAGAAGGCATGAAGGATCAGATGCTGCTATGAGTGGGTGTCACAGCCTGCATTCCAATGACCAGCCTCACAAAAGGTGATTATACTTTTAAATCTTTGTAAAGTTTGTGATGTGAAATCTCATTAAGGCAATCATACGATTACACCATCCATCTTTTTAAATATGGTTTGCAATTATAATTAAGTCTCTAAGCGCTTCCAAACTTGGAGATTATCACTCTGGCTTTACTAACTGTGCTGCCATATAGCATTTCAAGGAATAAATTCCTGCCAGGTACCCATTGACATAACCTGGGGTGTGTGTGACAAATGTAGATCAATGTCTTGCGCCAAAGGACATTAGTGCCACGGCGGGACTCGAACCACGGACCTTGTGATCGACAGTCTGCAATTTAGCCACTATACCATGACAATGCAGATATAAATGGTCAAGTTGTTCGCAAGTTTGCTTGCATGTTTCCTTCTTTACTTGTTTTGTTGACATTCTGTTGATTCCTGTGGGGAGACAATTACTGTCAATTTAAGCAATTGTTTTCTCCCCATAGGACTGCAAATGACCAACCTGTGGGTCAGAGAAGCAATGAAGGATCTAATGCTGCTATGAGTGTGTGTCACAGCCTGCACTCCAATGACCAGCCTCAAAAAAGGTGAGCATACTTTGAGTCTTTGTAACGTTTGTGATGCGATATCTCATTAAGGCAATTATACGATTTCACCATCCATTTTTTAAAATATGTATTTCAATTACAATTAAGTCTCTAAGTGCTTCCAAACTTGGCTATTATTACTCTGGCTTTTGCTGTGCTGCCCTCTAGCGTTTCAAGGAATTAATTCCTGCCAGGGACCCATTTACATCACCTAGGTTGAGTGTGTCAAATGTGGATCAACTGTATTGCCAAAGGACATTAGTGCCACGGCGGGACTCGAACCACGGACATGTGATCAACAGTCTGCAATTTAACCACTAATGCAGATATAAATGGTCAAGTTGTTCGCAAGTTTGCTTGCATGTTTCCTTCTTTACTTGTTTTGTTGACATTCTGTTGATTCCTGTGGGGAGACATTTACTGTCAATTTAAGCAATTGTTTTCTCCCCATAGGACTGCGAATGACCAATCTGTGGGTCCTCCCCATAGGACTGCGAATGACCAACCTGTGGGTCAGAGAAGCAATGAAGGATCTAATGCTGCTATGAGTGGGTATCGCAGCCTGCATTCCAATGACCAGCCTCAAAAAAGGTGAGCATACTTTGAGTCTTTGTAACGTTTGTGATGCGATATCTCATTAAGGCAATTATACGATTTCACCATCCATTTTTTAAAATATGTATTTCAATTACAATTAAGTCTCTAAGTGCTTCCAAACTTGGCTATTATTACTCTGGCTTTTGCTGTGCTGCCCTCTAGCATTTCAAGGAATTAATTCCTGCCAGGTACCCATTTACATCACCTAGCTGGGTTGAGTGTGTCAAATGTAGATCAAATGTATTGCCAAAGGACATTAGTGCCACGGCGGGACTCGAACCACGGACCTTGTGATCGACAGTCTGCAATTTAGCCACTAATGCAGATATAAATGGTCAAGTTGTTCGCAAGTTTGCTTGCATGTTTCCTTCTTTACTTGTTTTGTTGACATTCTGTTGATTCCTGTGGGGAGACATTTACTGTCAATTTAAGCAATTGTTTTCTCCCCATAGGACTGCGAATGACCAACCTGTGGGTCAGAGAAGCAATGAAGGATCTAATGCTGCTATGAGTGGGTGTCACAGCCTGCATTCCAATGACCAGCTTCACAAAAGGTTAGCATACATTTAAATTTTTGTAAAGTTTGTGATGCAAAATGTCATTAAGGCAATCAGACGATTTCACCATCCATTTTTTAAAATATGTATTTCAATTACAATTAAGTCTCTAAGTGCTTCCAAACTTGGGTATATTTACTCTGGCTTTGGCTGTGCTGCCCTCTAGCGTTTCAAGGAATTAATTCCTGCCAGGTACCCATTTACATCACCTGGGTTGAGTGTGTCAAATGTGGATCAACTGTATTGCCAAAGGACATTAGTGCCATGGCGGGACTCGAACCACGGACCTTGTGATCGACATTCTGCAATTTAACCACTATACCATGACAATGCAGATATAAATGGTCAAGTTGTTCGCAAGTTTGCTTGCATATGTTTCCTTCTTTACTTGTTTTGTTGACATTCTGTTGATTCCTGTGGGGAGACATTTACTGTCAATTTAAGCAATTGTTTTCTCCCCATAGGACTGCGAATGACCAATCTGTGGGTCCTCCCCATAGGACTGCGAATGACCAACCTGTGGGTCAGAGAAGCAATGAAGGATCAAATGCTGCTATGAGTGGGTATCGCAGCCTTCATTCCAATGACCAGCCTCACAACAGGTGCAGCATACTTACAATCTTTGTAACGTTTGTGATGCGATATCTCATTAAGGCAATCATACGATGTCACCATCCATCTTTTTAAATATGTATTGCAATCTTTGCATTCTTTAGTGAACTTGTACTTCCTCAGCCATGAAATAAATTTATTTCTGGTTTAGACTTTTCACAGTACGTTTCACAGTTTTATTTGATGGTTGAATGATGTAAAAATAGAATTTCAACCAAATAATATGTAAATATTCTTGTGTTTTACAGATATTACTATTACCCTGGTCATTGGATTTGTTCACACACAGAGTGTACAATATCCATCCCCTGGGGATAATTCTACCATATGTTCACTGTGAGGGCATGGCAATTACTATAACAAAATTAAGGCTTTCGTCATCCTACCAAGTTCTCATTTCACTCCTGGGAATATAGTGGCAAATGTAGATTAATATTTTGCCACAGGACATTAATGCTATTTGAGTTCAAACCCATTACCTTTCCATTTCCCATCAAGTGCTCAAACCACTCGACTGTTTACACCTTACGTTGGTCCACTTCATCATGATTCAAGAACAACTTCCACAAATATTGTTACGTGTACATTTACTACATAATTGGGTTCTATTTTTCATTTGCATGCAAGTATCGGCACCTTTTCTAAAACTTCAAACCATAATAGATTGAAAATTTGACTTGTATTCATTATCATAGTAGAATGAAATAGTCATTGTTTTGTAATTACAGTTATGTAATATTGATTGTTATTATACAAATACAAAAATGCTACATAGTTCAATTTAAGAAAAAATAGACTAACGCACGCACACACGAAAAATCTTTAAAGAATGCTCTGACCACTTGTCAACAAGAAATACTTCTACATATGGATTATATCAGTCCTTGATTCAATTTCGTTTTAATTTTATATATCTTTTTTGTGAGAATTAATTCAATAAGGCTGATCTAATTGACCCATTATCTTTCTTTCAGGTCTCAAGTCCTACATGTAGGTCAACCTCTATCCAAGGTTGGAGGCAGTTCTGAGATCAGTAGCTGGCATAGCCTTCGTTCTACAGAGAGCCCTCTGAGACGGTTTGTATCTCATTTAATTTAGCCATCACTGTTTAGTTGTCCATCGTACATGGGCAGGGAGGGAGATCCAGAGACATACAGCATTTTGTGTTGTAGTATTTGAAGAGTTGAACTCCAAAAGGAGCATATCCATTTTTTGTAACTTGAGAGAAAAACGCATTTGTTTACCAGATTTTGTACAGGCGTCTATGGAAAAGTGATATTAGAACGTGCATTTTTTTCATAATTGCTCCCAAAATTTAGGTAACTACTTTTGTTGAAAGATGGGTACTAAAGTAAACAATGTTCTGATATCAATAACTCAATTTTCATCAAAAGTGAATTAAGCTCCTTTTGGAATAAACTCTTCATTTGTAGTCAAATACATGTGGTTAATTTGAGAGGCAGTGAATAAATTGATGACCCCACTTGGACGAAAAATGAAGGCAAAAAAGACAATACATTGTTATTTGCTTTAACGTTAGAATAGCAAACAAAAATGTTCTCCTAATCGTCAATTTTTATTGGCTGTCCATGGTCCTTTGGTATGAAAATAAAATTAGATTTAGCCATTTAATTGTGAATTTTTTTCTATGGGACATGCAGTTATGACAATGCATGTAGTACCGTAAATCTCCGTGTAAAAGGCGCACCTGTGTATAAGGCGCACCCCTATTTTGTTGCCAAAAACCCATGCGGGGAAGGACCTTCAATTTACATCGAGGTGCAGTTGAAGTTGTGAACTTGTCACAATAAATAGTAACAATGTAAATTAAAAACAGGTCCAGACTCTAAGGCTTCATGATACCAAGTGTCCCACACCAGCCTCATCACATCACCTAGCAGAAGCACTGTGTTCTATGCCAAACATCAATAGTCATGCATGATATGAATAGAAAAAAAAATTGAGGAATTATTATTACCGGTATAAACTACATATTGAGATCTATTAGAAAGATTACTTTCAAACCAAGATGACAGACATATTTGAGTGTTGCTGTAGTTTCTGAATGGTGAGTCAACACACTGATTACTGAGCTGGGAGACATTGCCAGGCATAGCGCCAGGCCATAAATCGAAACTATAAAAAAAAAAAAAAAAAAATAATTCTGTACCTGTGTACAAGGCGCACCCCCGACTTTCAAATTTTTTCTGCGGCAAAAAAGTCCGCCTTATACACAGAGATTTACGGGTATACAAAATAACAAATACACTATAAGATACATTGTATATAAATGCTTTAGAAAGTTGCCTTCTATATCTCTTCCATTTGGTATAGGCCTCTACAAGATGATTTTGGTGTATCTCCAAGTCTGCCAGCACTACTTCACCCAATATCGGAGACGGATCATTCAGAAGACATCACTAAACGCAAAAGAAAGAAGATGCACACTGTATAATGCAAGTTAGTACTAGCATGAGTACAGCCAGAAACTTTCGCAACATATTTTCCAAACCAATTTTCACAGAAAAAAAAAATTGCAAAGTGTAAAAGTTTAGGTTTTGATGATAATAATTCCGGCGGTAATTATAATTACGTGTAAGCAGGGAAGCTTCATCTTCCTGAGTCCCTGCAATTATTATTACCCCAGCAGTTGCCAGGTGGGTAGAGGGTGGCAAATATGGGTTAATTGCCAAAGGACGTTAGTGCCATGCTGGGATTCAAACCCTCGACCCTTCGATTGAGAGTCAATTAAGTCGATCAATCTCTATACCACGACACCTACACATGCTGGGATTCAAACCCTCAACCCTTCGATTGAGAGTCAATTAAGTCGATCAATCTTTATACCACGACACCTACACATGCTGGGATTCAAACCCTCAACCCTTCGATTGAGAGTCAATTAAGTCGATCAATCTCTATACCACGACACCTACACATGCTGGGATTCAAACCCTCAACCCTTCGATTGAGAGTCAATTAAGTCGATCAATCTCTATACCACGACACCTACACATGCTGGGATTCGAACGCTCAACCCTTCGATTGAGAGTCAATTAAGTCGATCAATCTTTATACCACGACACCTACACATGCTGGGATTCAAACCCTCAACCCTTCGATTGAGAGTCAATTAAGTCGATCAATCTCTATACCACGACACCTACACATGCTGGGATTCGAACGCTCAACCCTTCGATTGAGAGTCAATTAAGTCGATCAATCTTTATACCACGACACCTACACATGCTGGGATTCAAACCCTCAACCCTTCGATTGAGAGTCAATTAAGTCGATCAATCTCTATACCACGACACCTACACATGCTGGGATTCACACCCTCAACCCTTCGATTGAGAGTCAATTAAGTCGATCAATCTCTATACCACGACACCTACACATGCTGGGATTCAAACCCTCAACCCTTCGATTGAGAGTCAATTAAGTCGATCAATCTCTATACCACGACACCTACACATGCTGGGATTCGAACGCTCAACCCTTCGATTGAGAGTCAATTAAGTCGATCAATCTTTATACCACGACACCTACACATGCTGGGATTCAAACCCTCAACCCTTCGATTGAGAGTCAATTAAGTCGATCAATCTCTATACCACGACACCTACACATGCTGGGATTCGAACGCTCAACCCTTCGATTGAGAGTCAATTAAGTCGATCAATCTTTATACCACGACACCTACACATGCTGGGATTCAAACCCTCAACCCTTCGATTGAGAGTCAATTAAGTCGATCAATCTCTATACCACGACACCTACACATGCTGGGATTCGAACGCTCAACCCTTCAGTTTCTAAGCACTTTACAAAACAAATGAAATGAACAATTATGTTTAATCTAAATATGTAATAAGCATCAACAAGATACGTGAAATGAACATTGCGCTTAATTTAGACGAAACAAACACTCTTAACTAACAGTGTATGAACAGTAACATGATAAAGAAAATGAAATACAATAGTAACATAAATGAAACTGCAATAATTATGTACTTTGGATAATGAATAAATTACAAGATAGGACATGTGCATGGTTATAATCTCGTTATGAAGATGGGGAATTACTTTGTGTTGAATAGGTAGGTCTTAATACACAAAAGTTTCTGGTTTAACCAGCGGTTCATTAGTAGGCTGTTTAGTGCATATCATATCACCATGTTTGTCATTTTTATTGATAGCCATCCAAGTGGCCAGTACTTCACCTGGGTCAAGAGTGCCAAATTTAAATGAATGCCTTGCCATGGGAGAAAAGTTATTAGTCTCTGTCGGCAATAAGATAGAGCAATGGAGTATGTTGTATTTCAGTGACATTTATGGGACTAATCCAATCGGTTCCCATTTTAGGACTGTATGTTAAGCTTTAAAAAAATTTGTTTGATTGAAAGTCTTCAATGTGGTTGCAAATTATGTGCTTATGTAAAAGTTTATGTTTTCTTTTAAAAAAGAGAAGACATTCATTTTAAATGGGTTTCTGCTTTTGTTTTCTGCTGCTAAAGTTGTAAATACTTGATTTGAATGTACTGGTATGCCAAAAACATGTGTGTATTTGATTAAGTATGGACAAAAAGTTACTTGAATGCCACACTATATGGACATTTAAAAAAAAGAGGTTTCAGGTCATATAATACTTCAAAACTGCCTCAAATAACTTCCAAAGTAGAGAATGTATATTTAAATTGGTTTTCTGTTTTCTGTTGCTGTAGATATAAATACATGTACTTGCATTTAAATTATGTCATAAACATGAACGTCTTTGATTAGGTTCGGACAAAAAGTTACTTAAATGCTGATATGGACATGTAAAAAAAAAGGGTTTCAGGTCAGATAATATTACAAACTACCTCAAAGAGCAAAATAACACCATATTAGGGTTTTAGGAATATACATTTTACACCAAGAGGCAACTAGATCAAAGTAAGAGGGTATGTTCATATTTGTGATTTTTTATTTTTATAAACAAAGCTATTTTTTTTGTTACAGAGTGTAGAATGTATATTTTGATTAGGAAGATAGATATATGTAACTAGATAAGGTAAGTATTATTTGAACATTGGCATACAGTTTTCAGTATTGTATATTGTGTAAGATTATTGTGCTTTAGAACTGCATAAAGCTTTATTATTTAGAAGTGTAATCATAAGTAAATTGAAAATACTATAATTATTCAAACATTATATTAAGTCAGAGGTTAATGGTCAGTAATGGATTTATGGAAATGTATTGGAAGATGTAAATAGCCAGTATTTATTATATGTTGAACCAAAGTCCTTTTTTTTATTATCTTGTTTTGCAAAGTACTTGTAGTGGTGGAGTATTAGTTACAAAATACATGTAGTTTTGAATGCTTGAGTCACAGATCGTATGTGTTGAGTATTCATATTGAATGTATGGTTGAATTGGACTCTATTATTACGAGTTCCCATTATGTTATTTTCTTTGTATATATGCATATCATACATATATCCAAGTAGTGATCGAGTTTTAGTTATTGAAGTACTGCTCATGATGGACCCTAAAACTGCTTGCTGTTTTAAATTGTGTACAATATAGTCAGAATTTTTGTTGGTCAACAAGTAATAATATACACATTTTTGATGGTCAATGCTCTATTTATCTTAGATGTTTTTATTTTGACTTACTGTTTGAAAAGGTTACTTGGCTGAAAGAGTTTGAAATCAGTTTCATTATATATTTTAATGCACAAACTTTCATTCACATATAACCTGCCTTTACACAAGCACATAATTGATATTTGAACATGCATTTGAAATGAATATAGACCTCCGATCAAGAGCAATACTGAACAGAAGGGCTTTATAACCAGTAATATTAGAATCAACACAATTTTGTTGTTGTTTCAAATGCAATAATTTCAATAGTAATAATCATCTTCTTCCTCTTATTTCAGAATGAAAGTGAAGGTTTTTATATTTGTAAGATCTCATGAGCTCTTGTTCTACTGAAAATTCAAACCCGATGCTGGGTTTAATAGGTATTTGTCAAAATCGAGACTTTTTTTAACAAAAAAAGTTAGTCCGAGGTGCAAATTTTGTGATTTTAGAAAAAGAAATCACTTAAAATAGTATGTATACTGGACATGGAAGATCATTGTGGACTTGTAACAGCGATTCCACAACGATGTACTAATTTTTGAATAGATTAATGGATTAATAGCTAATTATCCAGATATGATCAATTATTAAAGGTAATACAAAGTTTTGGGAAATTTTGAAAATTGGGTGGATAGTGAATCTTTACAATTTTGATATATTTGGATGCCCCTGTGGATGTATTATAAGCACTAAAAAAATTAGCCCCTAAAACACTTCTGATTTCGAGAAAAATTGAATATAAAAATTTACCGGTGCTCCCGGTAAATTTTGATAAATTTCAAATAGCGCCTATAGCCGTACAATGGTAGCTGCGACCATGAACATCTCAGAATATGTAGTTGGGATATATAATTTCCAAACGGGAATAGCTAATTGGTCGATTTTAGTCAAGAAACATTGTTTCATAAATTAATTAATATCTTGACCTTTAGAGGGAGCTATACAACATGAAGAGTTTATTATTTATAACTTCATAACTTTAGACTCGATTTCAACCGCGACAACGATCAATGTATATTGTATGAACGCATATGCTTCCAATATGTTAATTTGAACCAAATCCATGACCCTATACCAAAACTTTGTAATACCTTTAAGAGATTATAATGATCAGATGTATACTGCGTCTTATCCATGAATATGTTGTATCATTACGGTAATCAGTACCCGGCATGGTTTTCATATAGCTATTTATAATAATATTGTTATGAGAACACCTGTATAAATGACATTTATACTAGAAATATTGCTGTCATATAGAATGATAATGTTATCTTGCTATAATAATGCAGTTTTTTACATTGAGAATGATATGCTTATGTTACTTCTTTACATTGTATCTGGCTTGAATTCATAAGTTGTGCTTTAAGAGATTTTGTTAGCCTCACATAGGAAAGAAATGAGCCTGCCGCATACTCCTGCGGCAGACTTGCCGCAGATCTGCAGCAGACCTGCCGCAGACAGTCATCTTTTTCACATGCAAATTAGTTTTACCGCAGACTTGCCGCAGACTTGCCGCATACTCTTTCAGTATGATGAAGAGTCTGCGGCAGGTCTGCCGCAGACTTGCTGCAGACTTGCCGCAGACTTGCCGCAGGAGTATGCGGCAGGCTCATTTCTTTCCTATGGGTAATATATATATATAAAAATATATATATTTTACCAATTAGGTATATTCTATTCTCAAATGTATTAACTTCATCACATTGATCATTTGAAGTGTATTCTAGAGTAACATTAACAGTGACACAGGCTCGTACACATATATATATATACTAAATATGTATATTGTTTCTTGGTTAGTAATCATAGTTTCTTGGTTAGTAATCAATATATCTATTGCTTAAACGTGAATGTAATTGTAACATGATCAGACAAAATAATCTATTGGTTAATAATGGCAAAAGGAAAAAAGAAATCACAAAAATGATGTGCATTGTCTTAATTTGCTTAACAAATTATGATAAATGTATTTTTCTGTCACACGTGTAAAGTAATAATGAATATGCATGAGATGATTGGTTTCAATTGGCCCTATTAGACTTTAATGGGATTTCCTGTGGCAGACCTGCCGCAGACTGTTCCTGTGGCGTACTGGTATGCGGCAAGTCTGGAGCAAAGTTTCGCCCTGCCGCAGATCTGCCGCAGACTGTTCCTGTGGCATACTAGTATGCGGCAAGTCTGGAGCAAAGTTTCATCCTGCCGCAGATCTGCCGCAGACTGTTCCTGTGGCATACTAGTATGCGGCAAGTCTGCAGCAAAATTTCATCCTGCCGCAGATCTGCCGCAGACTGTTCCTGTGGCATACTAGTATGCGGCAAGTCTGGAGCAAAGTTTCATCCTGCCGCAGATCTGCCGCAGACTGTTCCTGTGGCATACTAGTATGCCGCAAGTCTGCAGCAAAATTTCATCCTGCCGCAGATCTGCCGCAGACTGTTCCTGTGGCATACTAGTATGCGGCAAGTCTGCAGCAAAATTTCATCCTGCCGCAGATCTGCCGCAGACTGTTCCTGTGGCATACTGGTATGCGGCAAGTCTGCAGCAAAATTTCTTTCTGCCGCATACTTCGGCATACTCTTTGCCGCAGACTAAAAGTCTGCGGCAGGTCTGCGGCATACTTTTCACTTTCCTATGGGCTAGCATTCATTTGATTTGATTTGATTTGATTTGATTTGATTTATTGGTTTCTGCATCTTTTTTGCTTTTTTTTCATCATACATTTTCATGAACATAATATGGTTTGATACAATATTTTAAGTGTATATAATTTTATACAGATAATAAACGAGATTAAACAAATATATTGAATGCATAATTAACATACATTAGATGCAGGAGGGCTACAGAAATAAGCAGAGTAGCTTGACGTGTCCGCAGCCCTCAACTTAGATACAACAATACAAAATATAAATAAAAAAGAGTGTGACTTGCAGAGAAGAACAGGAAAGGAGAGAGAAGTGATAAATCTCATACATCTGCTGATTGAATGCAGGTTCATTCATAAATGGATAAACGATGCTAGGTCATTATGAATATACATTTAAATATATCAATGTATGATGTGCATATAGATTATAGGCCTAGAATTTGGTTTTTATTTTGTTTGTTAATGTGTTGGTCTCTGTGCGTGGAATCCGTGGATAAACTTTATACGTTGTGATATTATAATACGTTTGGTTCCATGCTCATTTTTGGAGCATTACAATGTGTGATTCATTTAGAGGAAATTAAAATATTGACTGCGTTAGATTGAAATTGACATAACCTTAGAGTTGTTTGTTTTTGTCTCATTGTTTACACAACTTCTATTTAAGTAAAACACTATCAAGGAACATTGGAATAATCAATAAATTAAAAATGTTGTTTCCTAAGTAAATTTTGAAAAGTTTGTACTCCACGCTTATCTTAAAGATAAAGACCTTTTTTCATCATTATCTCCTTCCCTTTTTTGCTGACAAGTTTTGAGGGCGAGGGATGGTGGGTCACACCAACAACCTCCCACCCCCCCCCCCCCATTAGCTCCTGTGTTAAAATTAGATAAGGTATCAGAAAGACTAATTAGAATTGAATATAAATGGAAGGTTTCTACAAACTTCTCTCTCCTTTTTATTGCCAATTTTTTTTTTCCTGCACAGGTTGTGAGAAACAATTTACATGGAAGGTCATGTATGATATGTGGCTCATCAGACAATCTACAATCGGAATGACACTGGCCAGACTACAGCATTTATTTCTATCCAACGAATTTGTGTCTCAAGAAACTGCAGTTAATACCAATTAATTTGTAGAAGAAAATTTGCATTAAAAAAGTAGCATTATTGAAATTAAAAAAATAAAATAACAAGTTGCAAATACAGTGAAAGTATGACCCAAAACTGCAAGGGTATCAATAAAAAAATAAAAAAATGGAGGTTTATGTAACAAATATACAACATGCACAGTTCTGCCAACCATGAACGTGCATGGTGGTGTAATATGAAAGTGCATGGTGGTGTAGTATGAAAGTGCATGGTGGTGTAGTATGAAAGTGCATGGTGGTGTAATATGAAAGTGCATGGTGGTGCATGGTGATGTAATATGAAAGTGCATGGTGGTGTAGTATGAAATTGCATGGTGGTGTAAAATGAAAGTGCATGGTGGTGTAATATGAAAGTGCATGGTGGTGTAATATATGAAAGTGCATGGTGGTGTAGTATGAAAGTGCATGGTGGTGTAGTATGAAAGTGCATGGTGGTGTAATATGAAAGTGCATGGTGGTGCATGGTGGTGTAATATGAAAGTGCATGGTGTAGTATGAAAGTGCATGGTGGTGTAATATGAAAGTGCATGGTGGTGTAATATGAAAGTGCATGGTGGTGCATGGTGGTGTAATATGAAAGTGCATGGTGGTGTAGTATGAAAGTGCATGGTGGTGTAATATGAAAGTGCATGGTGGTGTAATATGAAAGTGCATGGTGGTGTAATATGAAAGTGCATGGTGGTGTAATATGAAAGTGCATGGTACCAGTATACCAATATAAATGCATATAACATCAAACATTACAAGGCAAATTTTACGCGCTTGATGTGCTACAATAATACTTAAAAAAGACAATTCTATATGAATGTTCTAATAACATACAAAGTGAAACTAAAATAGAACATTTGCACTTTAAATATTCATATGATCGTTGGCCATAGAAGATTACAAAACACATACTCTTTTTATTGTCATTAACAAAAAATATGCACACACTTGATTTATTGAATACTACTTCAGTTGCTGATATTGCATGCGGTTGTGTGTGTGGGGGTCCCTTTTAATTCTTTAACAATCAATCTGCATTATGTGTTGTTTGATTACGATATTGATAGCCCTTACATCTTCATAATTTTAACAAACGAATTCGCTTTCATTGGGTGCCTGCCGTAGCAAAAAGCAGATTTTACAAAAGACTTAACTTCGTTTCGTTGACAATCAGCCGTAGACATGAGTCTCCATGCATGCATGGCTGATTGTCAACGAAACGGAATTAAGTCTTTTGTTAATTTCGTTTAATAATATGACAGGCAGCCAGTGAAAACGAATTCGTTTATGAAAATGCAAGCACTACTTTAAACAAACAGAACTTTGTCATTCCTCGCTCATTTTTCCTGATTGAGGTGTCATATGAAAGGGCAGAAACTCAACTTTCTAGAAATGTGAATTTTTCTTCGAAATTCAGATACGGCCCGCCAAATGTCTTTTTGGTTTTCTTCCTTCAAATTTCTTTTGATCACTCATGCGTGAAATATGCATTATCTGAGTAGCATCAACTGAAAGAGGAGACTCTAAGCTTTCCAAATATGTATCATTCATTAATTATAGTTTTAATTAAGTTATGATAGAACATCGATACTTCTCGGTTTCGTTTTTTCTGGGACGCACTGTATAGAGGCCGCAAGTAGCTACAAGAAGTGCAGTCCCGCTTAAATACCGTCGTTCATCCTAACATAGTTTATCACATAATATCACCCATAGCAACCATCACATCCAGATGTCACTCTGACAAAATAACAAAATATACAATATTTTGGGATATAGCCTGCCGAGCTACTAGCACGTAGATACAGCATTTATTTCACATAAATTATCAACACTTTCATTTTTCAAAGTATGAAAACAACTTCCAACAAATTCTGTCTGAGAATCATACATATATAATGTTTTTATACCTCTTAACATTTAATCATGTGAAAACATAACTAATCAAACTGTTATGCCCTAACCCTAATTATGCCCGGGTTTAAAAAAACAGATAAAACTGAATAAGCACTAAACTCTGAAAAGACCCTATGGCCACCACAACCTAAACTTTGATGCAACAACGTCTCCTACTTATCATTTTTTTTTTAGTTCACTCTTTAAAAAGAACTCCATATAAAAAAAAGTGCTATTGTGCGGTCCTTGGAAAGCTAGAATGACTTCTCTCTACACACCACACCCTTATCTCGCATCCTCTCTTTTCATATTCAAATGAAACACCTTCGACGCAACGGAATTGAATAATTCCGTCACGCATGCCGGAGAACAATTAGTGTTCACCACTTATTGGCCGTATAAACAACATTTGCCAGCTATACGATGTAACGCTGGCAAATACATGTTCATCCTAACATCGTTTATCACATAATATCACCCATAGCAACCATCACATCCAGATGTCACTCTGACAAAATAACAAAATATACAATATTTTGGGATATAGCCTGCCGAGCTACTAGAATACTACAAAGAAGGGGAAAATATTTAACTATACCTCAATCCGAGATAAAATACGAAAAATAAAAAATAAATCTCTATCTTCCCGATCTTATTCACGCCATTGTAAATATGCTGACTTGTAAGGAATCAGATTTTTTTTCTTTCTTTTTTTTCTTTTTTTTCTCAAGGAAATATGCACTCTTTCTGACCTATGCAAAAATTGCTGGCAATAGTGTGTTCCTCAAATAAACTTGAAACGTTTAATTTATTTAACAAAATATCACGTAACCTTATACGTAGTTTGTTCAAACATAAATATCTTTACCTCAGTCACTAGTTTTATACTGTATATTTCCCTAGTAACAAAAAAATATTACAAATTTAAAGCTTGAGATACAGTGAGCCTGTCCCCCAAACTATCTTCCACGTACCCATCCTTCGCTTTTTCCCCTTTCCATCTACCATGCCTCTTCCATACTCTGTCATTTACTCCTGCCCTGGCAGCTGCCGTGGCTCCACTTGCCCTCAAAGAATGGAGACCAATGTTTAAATCCCCGCTTACCTCCTTAAGACGAGCGACAACTGTTTCACGTGTTCTCGTATAGCTCATTTGCTTATTCTTATGTATCAGAAACTTTCTTCCTTTATTTGCATATGCGGGTTTAAATAAAAATTGATCCGATTTCGTATCTATCCCTGCACTCTCCATATACCTCTTAACTATGCTAATAGGACAAGCATTTGTCCTCCCTTCACAAATGACTACATTATCTCCTTTTCTGTACTGATCTGTCTTACTCTTTGAAACGTGTACGGATCATGATCATCATAAAAACTGATATCACTGCATTTTAGAGATCTGGCCTCATCGAATCTAAAAAATCCACTAAAACAAAGAATAATGAAAGCTAAATCACGCAGAATAAGAACATCATGAGTACCAGAATGTTTGTCGCAAAGATCAACAATCTGCTCATTCGACAAAATATCCTTTTTAGACACTTTCTTAGCGTTTTCCCTCTTAGCTGCTTCAACAATGTTTATTACAAAATTATTAGCTGTAGGATCTTGATAACCCCTCAAATTATAAAACCATTTTATAGCATACAATGCACCTTGAATGACACTTGGAGATTTCCCTCCGTCGATCAAACTCGTCAAGTATAAAGCTATGTGAATAGGCTCAGCCGGAATCGCTCTGCCACCCTCTGTGGTAATGAAATCTTCCCATCTCTTGAAGGTTGAATAATACTTGTTAACAGTCCCATCACTTCTCGAATGCACTAGATGAGATGCCATGCTATCTGATAGTTTCCGAAGCTTGCTAGTAACTGCTCCCGATGCCTCTACTTCATCTGAAACCGCCTTGCGTAGACCTAAACCCGTTAAACCATAAATCATGTCTAAAAATGAAATTTCACAGCTAACATTGTGAACCCACGTTTCGGAGAACCGAAAATACCATTATTCCCTCTCCCCTTCTCCACTTTACAGGAAAATGTGAAAAACTCCCTGACAAACGATTTAAATTTCCCTCCTTGTGAAATTTTTGGCCAATAAGGTGCAGATTTCCACTGCGGCACGATTAGCGCCTACGGCCTTCTCCTGTATCGTTTTATCGATAACTCTCGCTGCCAATCGAGGTGGAGGTACCCACCAATTAACAGCATTACTCCACGTCTGCTCAAATGCATCGACCCTTTTTGAAGTGGGACAACCCCATCTTGAATTAAATTGTGCACACTTTGTGTTGTAATCACAAGCAAACCTGTCGAATGTGTGTGGCCCCCATTTTCGATCTAAAAAATCAAAAAATGTTGAACTAATACACCAGTCATCACTGTCTGATATTCTGCTAAGACTATCCACCCTCTTATTCCGTTCCCTTGGAACCCAGACTACGTCTATACCCAAATGATATACCTCACATGTCTGGTGAATATCAATCGCAATCTCCTGCAATTGTCCGTTTTTACTGCCTTTCTGCACAATACTTGTGACATTTCTATTATCCGTATAACAACGAATGTTATGGCCTTCCAGGCATGGTCCAAGTGATTTCAGCGCTCTATTTAGAGCTTCCATCTCTCTCCATGAAGAACTATATTTTGATTCAAACTCTCTCCAAGAGCCAACCCCTTCCAGGTTTAAATCCTCACAAATGAACGCTCCATAACCTGTGCCTGAAGCATCAGTAAACATATTGAAACTACACGACTTCATTTGTGAAATGGATATGCCATTAAATCTATCCATGTTCTTGTACCAAAAAATTAGCTCTTTTTCTGCTTCATCCGACAGTAATAGTGGAGCATTCCACGATGCCCGACTATTAATACACTTGAAAACTTCTCTTGTCTTCAATTGAACCATCGAACCCACAGCGGGTTGCATTATGATCTGCCCAGCAACTCCTGCCAGATCCCGCACTGGAATCAATCTCTTCCCCTGTTGGCTTTCACTAGTATACTTTGGATAGATTGTTTGCATTTACACATCCTTTCCTTTGTAATTTCTACCATCCCATCTATGAATTTCCAAGACAATCCCAACCAAATCGCATGCCCCATTCACACTTGTCTTCGGCAAGAATAAAACCAAGCTTGCCCAAATCTTAATTTTAGCTGTGTGTGAAAAGGCTGTAGTCTCGCTAACTTCATTAGCTTCGTCTATGTTACTACATCCTGCGATACCATCGTCAAGAAACATGACCACCATTTTCCCCTGTGATCTCCAGTATGTTACTGGAACCCTGGTTACTTTTGTAGAGATGTAACCGGCGGTGGAAATTCCAAAAGGTAATACATTAAACTGAAAGTATCTTACTTTCCCCTCAAAATCCCAAGCAAAACCAAGATATTGCCTGTGCTCTTCGAATATTTCAATGTGATGGTATGCCGACTTCAAATCAAAAGTACAAACATAATCCCCTTTTTGGAAAATATCCTTACCAACTGATGCGTCCTCGTACTTAAACTTATTCTTGTACAAATAATAATAATAATAATAGCTCACATTTTATAATGCGCCTAATACTACGTTTCTAGGCGCGGAACATAATACCCCGGTCATCGGATTCAGGCTTACCCGCATACAAGGTATGCACATTCTCCACTCCCTGGGGAGCATTCCAGCCAGTCGCCATTTTACAAGCGCCATTGCTAATCAAACCACATTAGCTTTCGCATCCTACCAGGTACCCATTCAACACCTGGGTAAAGAGTGGCAAATGTAGATCAATGTCTTGCCAAAGGACATTAGTGCCGCAGCGGGACTTGAACCGCGGACCTTGTGATCCACAGTCCGATGACATATCCACTCGACCACGACACCTCTACGGATTGAGCTTCTCAAATGCGGATTGACATGCCTACAATCCGATACAAGCCTGCATTTACCATTTTTCTCAGAAACTGTCAAGGGATTTACCACCGTGGGTCTTGATTCTACTTCAGATACACAACCTTTTTCTAACAACTTTTCAATTTCATCCTTAACGAAAACTGAATGGATCAATGATGACCTGTTATTATGAAGTTCTTTGCTAACTGGCAAAGTATGCAACGGTAGTTTATATCCGTTTTCGACAACATCCAAAATCTCTTTACTAGCCCCAAACTTTGACCATGTATCCCAATTTTGTTTCAGCCTCCCGACAGGAGAAGCTTTCTTATTTCCCGAACTCGAAATTTCATCATCACTGAGGATTTGTATATCCTTTTCCTCCCATGTTCTCTGAGAGCTTTGATTCTTTTCCTATATCATGAATCAATACGAAATCACTTATCTGATCTCTGCTTGCCCTGGCCTGACACTCGTTCCTCCAGTGTCCCGGTTTCCCGCATGCAAAACATAGCCCTGGCTTCTTTCGCTCATCCGTAGACATCGTAGTATAGACCCTCCAGGGCCATGACGAATAGATGAGTAAAACTCCTGCTCCTTGGCGTTGGAATTCCACGAAGCCTTGCTCCCGTCATAAGGCTGGAAACGTCTCGGCGCCATTTTCTTTACTTTCTTGCCCTTCCTCTCTGCTCTCGTTTCTGCTTTCAGCATGCGCTTTTCATCTTCTGAATCATCGGCCAATGTGTTCCTCTCATATTCGGCAACCAACTTCCATCCTAATGGCGAACTGTCCGCCATTTTTATCAATTTCTGCCTCTTCTCAACTAAGTCTATACCTTCAACGATTTTGCCCTTCGCACCTGCGACAGCTCCTGACGTATCATTGGATTCGTTGAGACAATCCTCGGCCTCTTTCAGCTTCCTATGAATTTTCACATTCACTTTATGCTGCTCTTCGTTGCCTTTACGCTGAAACTTAAAGTTTTCAGTGTGCATTTCTTCTATCTTTGCAACTTGTGCGTCACTTAGTGCTTTCTGGTTGTCATTTATAGACTGGTGAAAATTGCTCAACCTATTAGATATTAAAGAGAAGGTTGAGTTCTGGGAAGAGGTGAACAATAATTTGTGAGCATTACTCATTCTTATTATGCAAGTGTGGAAGAACATCAGATAAGACAATGTTCCCTGAAAAGCATGGCTCTTCAAATGCCTTCGTATTCTAAATATGCATGTAACATCGTAAAAATCGGGGGCCGGCTTTTTACGCCACGTGTTCGTGTAGTCCCATATACATCTTTCTGTGTACAGTGTTTGTAACTTTACCAAGACTTGGCCAAATTTCTTATCATTTTGATGATTCCAGAACCTTGCAATACACACAAATTCTTATATGCTATATGATCAACCCTTTCTTGTCGGTTCCACACCGTTTCTTTCACAATGCAATCGCATGACCAGAACTCAACTTCGTCTTTAAACCGTCCAAGTCTGTTAGCAATTTATTTTGCGACTGGCTCAATTTTGAATCTGTAAGCTCAGAAACTGTTGCCGGATCCATGTTCGAAAATAGTCGTAATGTAGCTGGAGACTCTTAAAAAAAACGTGCTAGTGTGCGGTTCTTGGAAAGCTAGAATGACTTCTCTCTACACACCACACCCTTATCTCGCATCCTCTCTTTTCATATTCAAATGAAACACCTTCGACGCAACGGAATTGAATAATTCCGTCACGCATGCCGGAGAACAATTAGTGTTCACCACTTATTGGCCGTATAAACAACATTTGCCAGCTATACGATGTAACGCTGGCAAATACATTTACTGATACCTTCTGAGGAAAGTTTGTCCTACTTGTATTCCTGGAATTTTCTTGGTGACATGTATACAGTGCGTCCCAGAAAAAAGAAACCGAGAATTGTTGAGGTTTTATCATGACTTAATCACAATTATAATTGATAAATGACACATCTTTGGAAAGTATAGATCCTCCTCTTTCATTATTTTGATGCAAGTCATATAATGCATATTTCACGCATGAGTGATTAAAATGAATTTGAAGAGAGGAAACCAAAAAGTAATTTGGCGGACGGTATCTTAATTTCAAGGAGAAAATCTCATTTCTAGAAAGTTGAGTTTCTGCCCTTTCATATGACACCTCAATCAGGAAAAATGAGCAAGGAATAACAAAGTTCTGTTTGTTTAAAGTAGTGCTTGCATTTCCACAATTTGATTAAATTGAGTTCGTTTTTACTGGCTGCCTGCCCTAGCAACAAACAGAGTTGACAAAAGACTTATCTCCATTTCGTTGACAATCAGCCGTAGACGAAGGACTTCAATTGATTGAGATTGGGGAAACTACATGCACTCATCGAATGAATAGGGACTTTTAGATTTGCACGAAGACAATGTGGATTGCTACGGTCGACGTCCTTTTAATGCACTGCCTTGAATGGACGTCACACGTATCAGTCCACGCAAATCTAAAAGTCCCTACTACTAGCCCCAACGAGACCTTTTCAGTGATGCGGTCTCTGACCACACGTTCATGTTTACAAACTTCTTCTTTTGTTTTGGCTTCTCAATTCGTTCAACTTTCACACGTACGGTACCTCTAAATTGCTTGGTGTACAACCAAAAAGGAAATTTCTACACGACCACAAGGCGTGTTCAAATATTATCGAAATCAATCATCGATGTCTGATGAGAATTTATAAAAATTTGCTCAAAATTAAAGATTATTCCTTTAAACCGTGATCAAGTTCAACATTGACTTAAATGATGACACCATCACTCATTCATGTTTTATTTCTTTTTATTCCGATATGAAAGATTACATTCGAATAAAATATACAAATCTCATACGAATATAATTATATGCCTATTATGTTATTAAAAAAGCATAGACCTAAAGAGTAAACCCTTTAAAGATTCATTGTTTTCAATAACTTGTCCCTCAAAACTAAAAAGTAGTTATACTTGAATTCATCATCTAAATGCACAAATATAGTTACAAGTATTTACAGTGGTGATTCGAAATGTACACAATTCTTTAGCAGACGAATGAATGAAGGTTACTTATCAACGCTCTGTTTCACAGCCTCACGAAAGTTTAAACAGAAGAAAGCATTTCAGTTTTATATATACAAACAGACTGAGAAAACATATCTTTAATTTATTGCAATCAGAATAATAATATTTTTCCACCTTCCCCTCTTTCTTTCTCTCTCTCACATTCTCTCTCTCTCTCTCTCTCTCTTTCTCTCCCCCTCTCTCTCCCCCTCACTCTCTCCCTCTCTCTCTCTCTCTCCCTCCCTCTCAATCGATGGATATATCTCAGCGACTTTACAGGGGGGGGGGGTTGTACTTTTATACTCGGATCTAGTTTGGTTTTGACGAAGGTGTGCACTGTGCAGTTGAAGCGTCCAAACCAATTCCGAGTTTGGATGAAAAAGCGAAATGAGATTAACTAGATTTTACCTGGGATTTGCACTTTAGCGATATTATGGATGAAGTAGGAACCGTTGTTTAAGGTCAATATTTAAAAGAGGGGCAATTAATTTTTATGGATTTTCTAGTAAAACAAGATCATATCTCATGTTTAGGGATTTTGTTGTAAAAAAAGCTGCCCAAAATAGAGCGGAACATCTTTGTATACTAGGCGGATACCCTCACCCCTCACCCCTCCCCCTCCCCGTTTTATTATATTTCTAGGCATCAAAACTTGAGATGGGGGTGGGGGGGCAAACGTCATATCCGCCCTATCCTAAACCACCTCACCTCGCTTTAAAAACCTCCTTTGAAATTATGATTCCTTTAAAAGTTAAGGCAAGAAAAGAACACTCTTATATATGAATTTGCCAATTCGCATAACAAATATGTTTTTTTCTTGGCAATACAATGTACGTACATATAACATTTAAAAAAGGCTAATCACACATGCCAAATCACCTTTGGAGCTGAGCGATTTGCTATATGAACCTATATCGAGAAAATAACTATAAAGCGTTACCTATAAATTTGGAATATATTTTATTGTCTCTTTCCAGAATATGATTGTGACAATATGGTTCATCCTTGAGAGATAACGTTTATATCTTCTTAGAACTTAATTGATCGATCTCTCCGACTCTTTATATAGACTCTGACTATTAAGAAAAAACATAATTCTCACATGAAAAGGGGTAATACAAACTATTACAATTTGGGGGCAAAAAGTGTATAGATTTTTGCAAATGGTGTCATGTCGTTTAGATGATGGGCGCTTGATCATCATCAACAATATCTCCGGAACGACTGGTATAGCAGACTAATACGATGAAGGAGATGATTAACATGATGACCCACATAACGGCACTAATACTCGTCGCAAACTGTAAGATGGGAGAGTAAATAATAATGATAAAAGATATGAGTAATATATAAACAATACAATTTGTTGTTTCTTGACTATAAAATAATAATTTCCCTCCTAAATTAATCGTATTCTCCATGAGGAATGAGAGGCTACACACAATAACTTCTGTTTTCATGATCTGATTTGCATCACGTTATTGGTATATATAGGTATAGGCGTAGTAAAATGGGAAAGGATGACATACCATGTCGACTCAATTTCTATCAAAAACACAATATCATTCTTTTATAGCACTAGACATTCTTTAATCATGTAAAATAGGAATAAACTGACATTATTTTGATCCGATGTAGAGGGGGAAGCCCCGCTACAGAGGGCCGGGGGGGGGGGGTAGAGACAGAATCAGACAATGTGCATGTGAGAAAGATTATGTTTATACGTATATATATAATAAAGAGAGAGAGAGAGAGAGAAAGAGAGAGAGGGGGGGGGGTATTGATTCATCTCCATTGTAAAACATTCAACACTCAAATATAGAATGAACATAAATAACCCAAGACCGATATCAACAACTAAAGTAAAAGTAAAAATTCAGTTCCAATGTGCGGAAAAAGGACTAGTCTGATTCAAACATAGATTCATTACTAACTTGGTGCAATACATTTCAAACACAAATAAAAACGTGTCTGGGAAATCATTATACTAAAGAGAAAAAAGTTGTGATAATTATGAAAGTATATGGTAACTGAATATAAAGATAGTAAGATTTGGAGGTTAAAATAATGATATGATATTTCATGGGTTTCATTTTGGAAAGTGGATGGACATAATGCGTTCTAATTTTTTAATCACTTTTTTATTACTTTGAACAAAATGAAGATAGAGAGAGAAACATAGATAGACAGAGAGACGCAACGACGGAGATGGGAGGGACTATACCTGAGCCGTTAAGAGATACACATAGAAATGCGATGCATCGTAGTCGTAAATTTTCCAGTATTTATCCTGCTGCCACTCTTTGCACCTAAAAAGAATGCAAAACACAAACACTGTTAGTGTAAAATAAAGTTCTTAGAACCTCTTCATTCATTCATTCATTCATTGTCTTTTAACAAATTATAGTTTATATTCTTAATTTCTCCTTGAACGATTATGTAAACAGGAAGTTAGATTTTGGTGAACTCATTTATAATTATAGTGCCATGTCTTTATATTTTCGTTCTGTGTCAATAATCTCTAACTAAATAAACGAAATGAATTATGGTGTCGTGAAATAAATATTTTAAAAGCTATCTCAATATTCGCTCCCCTCTAGCCAAGCTTTCTGTCGAATTCAAGGGATGTATTCAAGTTCAAATTCAACTTTATTTTTTTCCGCATTTTACAGAAAATATAAACATAGGCTACATATAAAATACAAAATTATACAATATAATTGTAAATGAGCACATATCAATGATTCATCAATCAATTCATATAATAGATTAAGAGGAATGTGAGTCATCAACCATGTTCATCGCAAAAATGGTTAGATTTTAACATTAATCTGCTCGCTTCCGAAATTATCTTTGAAATACTCACGTATCGTAGTCATGATGATGATTATCGACCAGCAATACGAATCCCTTGCAAAGTTTCTGAAATCCAAAAGACAAGATACCTGCTGATACGCCAACTACGACCATCAGAATACCGAAGATTATCGTCTTCAAGATTGGAATGAACCGA